CTGTCTATAATTTTCAAAAGACCCCCATCTCTTTCTGTCAGAACCTTCTGTTGGCTTCTATTTATTTTCCTTCTGTAGATAACCTATAACCCAGATTTTTATCTTGTGCATTTTAAAACCCTTTTTACCTTTTCCAGTGTAGCCCATCTTTCCTGGGGTTCCATGACCTCCCCCAACTTCTCCTTGTCCTTTGGATTCGAACACCCAGAATACTCGAGCCTGGCCTCATTTGCAGCCCTGCGGCTTCAGGACTATCTGGAGAGGGCATTTGGGCAAAAGTGTATCGATGGCCTCCTCTCCGCTGGCTGCAAAGGCTGCCCGTTGAGCCCTCCTGGCGAGGTGCCCCGGGCGGGGTACCTGGGACTGAGCAGTTCCTCAACCAAACTTCAGCCTCATCCCCGGTACTCCACGGTACCAGCGTCCGCCGGGCACTCGGGCATCCTTCTCCCTCAATCAAACGTCAAAACGTCACCAGGTTCTGTGGCATTTTCCTCCCAGATCTACTGTAAATGGGTCTTCTCTTGCCCTGGCTGCCCTCATCCCCTCTCCCTCTTTCACTCTCGCCCCCCACCCAATCCGCTCTTCACATCACTGCCACTTTAACTGAGTGACTCCGACCCAGTCAGCACCCTGCTTAAACCCCTCAGTGGCTCCTCTTTGCTCCCAGGATAGAGCTCAAACACCAGAGTACGTCTTCCACGAGTAGGGTTCCCATATAACAGGCTTACATTGTTATCTGAACCAGGGCGCTTTTGAGAGCGAAAGGTGGTGCCATCAACAAATACACTGGGACAACAGGTGTGTGGTCACTCTACTTCGAAGATCCTTCAGGATCTGGTCACAGCAGCCCCACCCCTCATCACAGCTCCCCATCCTACCCTCAAACACAGACATACACAGGCACACACGCACACACACACCCCGTTCTTTAGGGGGCCCACGTAAGCACATGCTCTTCTGTCTGCCTGAAAGATCCTTCTCCCCATCCCTCCTTTGGCGAATTTCTAATCAACTGCTTCCAAAGTCAAAATAATTTTCTCCAGGATGCCTTCCTGACTCCCAACACTGGCTGAGGCGCCCCCCCTCCTGTGCTCCCATCGCATCTTGCTCTTCCCTCACCACAGGCCTCATCACACGTAATTGTAATGCCCTGTTTTCCTCTCTAGACCAGAGCGCCTGGGTGGGGGGAACCCTGTCAGATTCATTTCTGGGTCCCTAGCATCTGGCACCGCGCTTGGTTTGTGAAAAGCCATTGAGCTGCGCACTTAGACTTTGCGCACCTTCCTGTCTGCCGGATGAATGGGAATCGGGCACCGTGTTGTCCCCCTGGCTGCTGGGGGTATTAAGGGGAAGAGGGGACCTGGAGGACCAGCAGGTGCTCAGGCTCCTGCTCACGCCTCTCAAGGCTGGAGCTAGTCCCCCGCCCCGTCCCCCCACCGCCGTCCTCTGCTTGGCTCCCCCTAGTGGCAGCTGGGCAGCAGTGACGGGTCCCGTGGGCCAGGTGGTCACTGCAGCCAAGGGACGGGAGGAGGGCAGCGTCCTCAGCCAGGCTTCAACTCCTGCTGGGCAGCCCTCCCTCCCCTGCCTGGCTGCAGCCCCTCCTGCGCCACAGAGTCCCCATGCACGGGGTCACCAGAGGCCCTACCCCAAGAACTTTGAGGGTGAGGACTGAGGTTGAGTAGTGTGGCTCCAGGCTAACGTCCATGCTAGAGGTAGAAAACCGCTGTTCCGTGTAGTGCCCTTGCAAAATGTATTGGTCAAGCCTGGCTGCCCTCTTTTGCCTTATATTCAAACCCTGGATCAGAGTCACAAGATATGAGTGAGCTCAGGGCAACACTATGGATGAAGCGACAAGACCCCGCTGCGGCATGAGTGGATGCGCTGAGTGTGGTGGTGGGGACTTGGAAAATCTAAGGATGGGGCCAGTTGAAAACACAAAGCAGGGTGGAGGGGAACGGGATGAAGGCCTGTTGCCCCGCTGCAAAATGAGCTTTCCCCTCCCCTTATTTGGAACTTTATAGTTGGTAGCTGAGCTATTGGAAGAATACCTTGGGGGAAAGAGCTCAGGGAAAGGGAAAGACGGGAGAAGGGTCTCACTCTGGTGGCTTAGCGCATGGGTAGGGACAGTAGCCTGTCGCCGAGGGACATCCAATAGGCCAGCAACAGAGGATCACACTCACATGGACTCAAGCTGGAGCAAGGAGCCAGCCAGGTTTCTGAGTCTCGGGTGGGGGGGGGGGCGGCGGTGGCTGGTGAGGTGACCAAGGGCTGCGATGGAAAAAGCTACCCTGCCCCTCTCTCTCTCCTTCCCAGTCACTCTGCAAGCAAAAACAAACAAAAAACAAAAACCACGAAGGGAACATTCCCAAAAACGGCCAAGTGGGCTTAAGAAGCTTCATGGCAAGACTACTTGGGCACCTCAGAGGCTAAGGGCATCCAGGGGTGCGGGCAGGAGAGTGAGGCGGAACGGAAGATGGTGGTCAGGAAGAAGTGTCTTCTTTCTTGGAGCCCTTGGTGCTGAGACACAAAGTGATCTCGGGAAGGGTGGGGTGGGAGCAGTCTGTCCAGCCGCCACAAGCCTTTTCCCTTTGCAATCTTTGGGGCCTTGGAGAGCAGAACTAGATAATCGTGACCACAGGTCTTCCAGGTCTGAATATGCCTGCCGCTATCCCAGCCCCCTGCCGTTGTCCCACAAGTACCTAGACTTTGAAGAAGGGGACTTAGGAGAAATGCTTTATCAGAGACTCCGTGGAATACTGAATTTTATCCATCAGGATTCGGGGCAGAATTTCCTTTACTCTGAAACAGGGAGTCTCAGACTAGTAGAAAAAAGATCTGCAGGAGAAAAACAGGTCTCAAAACATGGCAGGAATAAAGTAGGAGGGGGGAGTCCTGAGCTGTAGCATTCTTGCCTTGAAACCATGACCTGACGTCATGACAGGAGCCACCTGTTCCAAGCAGCTGGGGGGTGGGCGACGGCGGGGGGGGAGATACCCCAGTGTGCTCTTTTGGATAATCGTTTGCAAAAGGCTGAGCCTGTAAGAACAGCCTTCCGGGAGAGCCAGCAGTTGGCAAAAAGGCAGCAAATGACTAACAGGCACAAGGTCAATCCTTGGCCTGAAAATGAGGTGTGAATTAACTTCCAGTATGTTCCTGCCCCGTGGTTGTATTAATTCTAATCCTCCCTCCTCCCATTTGCAGCTATTGAGGGCAGTATAGAGGACTCTGGTGACCTCAGTTATCATGTGATGGGCAGGGGTGGGGGGGTGGGGGTTTGGCATCCCTAGAGGACGCATCTGGCGGGAGACTAGGGGTGCAAACTGAAAGGTAGGAAGCTGGCTCCCCCTCCTGACCAAATGTAATGGCTGTTTCCACCAATAGGGCATTTACTCCCTCAGTGGTCTTCAGTCGGCTTGGGGGGCCCAGCGGCAGTGCAGAGCCTTCTTTCTTCATCCTCACTTCCAGAGTTCTTTGTGCGGGAGGTGCCTCCAATAACCAGATTCCTTTCCAGAAGCCTCTTACCCTCCCCCACAACCAAGAGCTAGTAAGAGATGGTAGGAGGCAAGATCGCTAAGAGGGGCAGGTTTTTCTTTTTTTAACTACAGGCTTTTTCCATGAGCTTAATAACCCTCAGGTCAAGGGCTACATGCTATTAACAGTCCAATTAAATAAACTCTCTAGCAGAAAATGCTTCACTTCCCAATCCGGCGGGGAGACCAGCAGCCCCAGTTTGAGATGACTCTTGTATAAAGGCATTAGCTTGGGGACTCGGTGTGGTGAGGTTAGTGTTGTTCCGAGCAATCTCCCCTCTGGCTCGGAGGGTGGAAGGTGAGGGGTGTGGAGTAGAAGCCGGGGATGCCTCTGGCTCCGCAGCAGTCATCTGGCCCTTACAGGCGCAGGCCCATTCGGCTCCGGTGCCTCGCCCTCCCACCCCGCCACGTCTGTTCCTGCTGCTGTTCCGTAGTCGAGGATCACTTGCCTTCCAGGGCACGTGGGGCGCTCCCACTAGAGGCAAAAAGAAACGGTCTCGGAGATGCTACGGCGCTTTGCTGGGTGTCACGGGAAACTGAACACTGACCCTCCCCCAGGCACAGGGGCCAAAGGTGGGGACCGAGGGATTATCTAGGAACTGGATTACCCAAGGCGGCCCACAGTACAGTCAAAATGTTCGGACACAGCAAGCCCCGAGCCACTGATCCAATACTTGAGGGAACTGCATGGTCGGCAGGTTAGGGCACTGAGGCTCCGTGTCAGCGGCTGCCGGAGTGAAGGCCCGATGACGTGAACGAGGGCTAGCAGGTCAGAGGCACATACTTCAGTGCCCACCTCGGTCCCTTTGGAATCACCCCCCCCCTTTTTTTTTTTTCCAAAAGACTCACTGTAAAGTCGATATCCCAGTATTCAACATAAAGCGCAACTGAGGCAAACAAAAGCAGAAGCAGGCTTCAAAGATAAAGGGGCCCTCTGCACAAAGCTCCAGAAGCATGTGGCTTCACCCGAAGTAAAAGAACTCCCTTATATGATGAGGCACCAAAAAAACAAAAACAAAAACCCACTGAGCGTTCTGGAATGCATAATTCATTCAATTGTACACATTCATCTTCCCCAGTTTTTAATTAGAAGGCCTGAAATTAAATGCCACACGTGTGTCTACTACTGATTGAGGGAACGTTTGCATTTGGCAAAATTAGTTCCAAATGAATAAATTCTAGAAAATTGAGAAAGTACTGACTTTCTAGCCCCGGGAAGAAGAACCGGAGATCCAGCAGGCCCGACATGCGCTGTCCCTCAGGTATAAGGCACAGAATCTCACCGTATTTGGTTCTCGGTAAACCCCAGACTTCTCCAGGTCTTACCGTTGAACAGAACTGCGGCCAAGGCCTTCTCTGGGCTTAACCACGCAGCTAACGGTCCAGAGACACGGAAGTTCAGAGCTATCGCTGGGCAGCAAGACCCCTAGACCAACCCTGGAGCAGAAAGATCAGTACAGACACGATACGGACGAACGAATCACACACAGACACTTTATTAGTTTCCTCTATGAGAGACAGCAACATCAGTCTTTTTAACAGAAATCGCAGGTCACTGGAGAGGCCAAAGAGATGGAAGGAAGATGAAATATTTAAATTAATCAAAAGGCACTACGACCCCACCTAACACCTACTACCACGGCGGTAGCGGGCTAAGGAAGATAACGCTACGGCAAAAATAATCCTGTGTCAGTGTTAAGAGATGACGTAGCAGGAAGCGACTTTGCTTTCCAGAAGACTGGTACGAGGAACACGTGCACCCCAGAGGACATCTGGCCAGGGGAAGGGCAAGATGGCTGAAGGTCAAGCCAAATGGAAAGGAACGGGTACAAAGGAGAATCCCAGTGACACAATCCCCAAGCAGGGGGTGAAGGATCAGGCTTTTTCCTCCCAAGAAGCATTCACTGCCCTGTGTGCTGCCTCCCCCCCCATCCCGGGTACCCCCACCCCCTCCAGAGAGCTGCAGCTTTACAGGACTCAGCGGCCCGAGCTGGGCTGGGGTGGCCTAGGGTTCTTGCTGTCATTTCGCAGAGACTTTTGAGAGCCTGTCACAGGTTGGGGGTGGACGGGGGCTTTGTGGCCAGTAGTTCTGAACCAAGGAAACCCTGAAGTATTCACATGCAAAGTAGTCTGCGCTTCCCCCCCGCCCCCCCCCGCCCCCGCACATTCACACCCCGACACAACACCCTCCAAAGCCTGAACTCTTGCTGTGCGCAGCTCAGCAGTTCATCTCAATCCGTCTTTCTCTACATTTAGGAGAAATGCTAATATACCCGATGAGGGGTGGAGAAAGCTTCGCCAGAGGCAAGCTGGGCCTTCTGCGCAATTTGTCATCAAATACCAAGGGAAAACAAGGGGGCGGGGTTCACTTTCTTCGTAAAAAGCCTCAGCAGTTACTCTATTATAAAGGGACGTGGCTGAACAGGTAGGAAACTGACTCCCCGTTGTGAGTTCTCCTGATGGCTTCTGCCAGGATCATGGAGATGTCGATCACCTAGTGGAGCCGAGAGGAGCATCAGGTTAGTAGCACACAGACAGATGCCAACCCTGGTGAGCAGCCTGACGAGGTGCCTTCCCCTTAAGGCTGCTGCACTAGGCTGTGTCCCCTCGTGAGCCGCCCCCAGCTACCTTCTGCATAGTATTTTTTAACATAACCACTTAGGAAAGGGCCAAAGTGCTCAAGGAGGAACACCCCTGACTCAGACTCACCAACACGGTGGTGCGCCGACACTTACAGATCCTCAGCAGTGAAAAAAAGGGAATGCTTCAGCTGAAAAACCAAATCCTTAAGAGGGACATCGGTGCTCCACTTCTCCATATGAATTCCAGAAAGCTAAGGGATTACTGTACACATTTTTAATGAGGCAAGGCCTTGTTCTTTTAGCGCCAACAGCCCCTGAATGTTGGTGTCTAATTACTTGGGGGAATTAAAGGAGGGGTCCCAGGACCTCCTGGTTTTGTAGGTCTCGGGTGGAACAAAGGAACCTGCATTTTAACGAGAACCTTAGGTAACTAACTTGGGCTGTTTCCAGAGCATGCTCTGAGAGACACTGAAGTTCTGAGGGGTGTACCCCCCGTTTAAAGGTTTCCCACTGTGTCTGCTGGGGGCCAACAGTTCAGAGTGACACACACTCAAGTGTAAAGCATGGACTTGCAAATGTGAGTGTGTATCACAATCACTGAGAGCGTCTGCTGAAACGCTGTAGTCCTGATGCTCTGTCCTCCAGAGGTTCACCTCGCAATCGGAATTTTTACATGTGATTTTTTTTTTTTTTTGAACTTTTGGGTCACAGATCCTGATGACAGACTCAGCCCTTTAAGAGCAAAGGAGGACATCTTCAGAATCCAGACCCCTAACTCGCCATAGGCAACCACTTCCTGAAAATACTTCGCGGAGTCTTCTTTTGCGAGAATCTCCTCCTCACCTGTATTTTGGAGCAATGCTTCATCTTATCCTCCTGAGGTATGGTATTGGTGACTACTACTGCTTCAAAGCATGCGTTGTTAATGCGGGAAATGGCCGGGCCAGAAAAGATTCCATGAGTCAAGATTGCATAAACTCTGGTGGCTCCAGCTGAGAGAAGTCTAGAGGAAAACGCAGAGTTGCTCTGGATTACTCTCACTTGTCACTAGGGGACCTGAGTTGGGGGGGGAGGAATGTATCCATCAGCCTGGGTGCCTTAAAGACTTGCTCTCTCAGTTCTGGAAGCTGGGACCCCCAAGATCAAGGTGGTGACAAGGTAGCAGTCACCCTGAGGCCTCTTCTCTTGGCCATCTCCCTGTGCGCTCACGTGACCTCTGCGCGCGCCTACGCATGGGGGATCCAGCTCTCGGTGTCTCTTCTTACAAGGGCACTATTCCCATCATGAGGGTCCCCCGCCAACGACCTCATCTAAACCTAGGTACTTCCCCCAAAGGCCCCGTCTCCAAATATCATCACTGGAAGGGTAGGACTTCCAACGTATGAACCTTAGGGGACCACGATTCAGTTCACAGCAAAGAGAGATAATTGGACCAAGAACTTACCTGAATAGGTTTGGATTAACGTAGTAAAACTGGCACAGACTGCTATGCTCAACAAAATCCACCGTCTTTTTTTTTTTTTCCTGGGCACACAGCTGGACTACATTTCCCAGCCTCCCTTGCAAAGTTAGGAGTGGCCATGTGACTGAATTCTAGCCATCAGAATGTGGGCACATGCAATGTATACCACTGGCTGGGCTTAGAAGAATCTTCCATGGGTGATTCTCTATGCTCTTGTTTTCCCTTTCTGGCTGGCCAAACCGGAAATGTCTTCCAAGGTAATCTTGGAAGCCGTATGTTAAAGATGCAGCACCACAAAACCGAAAGAGGGATACCTGCACTGGAGTAAGCCAGGAACAAGAAACTATCATGGTAACGAACTGACATTTCGGGGAGCTGAGCTGTTACAGCAGTTAGGGTTAACTTAATCATAAAGGACGAAATGAGTTTTATCAGTGTATACTCCAGGATCCCAATCAGGAATTGCTCAGCCCACAAATACTTTCTTAGCCCCTATTACATGCCAGGCCCTGTGCATGGCAGACACCCTGAGGTTAAGAAAAAATTAGGAGAAACAAGGCTCTCCACAGTGGTGTGGACTATAGCAACGAGGAGCCACTTAAGGTTTTCAAGGAGAGGAGTGATGGGCTCTAGCCTTAGTTTTAGACAGATTAGCAAGTGGGGAGGCAATGAGAGAGATGGACTGGGGAGGTAATAAGAGACTGGTGACTAGCAGCAGAGCGAACAGAGTGAAGGCACAATTTAGTGCAGCCAAGGGGGCACCTGGGTGGCTCAGTCGGTGAAGCGTCTGCCTTCGGCTCAGGTCATGATCCCAGGGTCCTGGGATCGAGCCCTGCATTGGGCTCTCTGCTTAGCAGGGAGCCTGCTTCTCCCTCTCCCTCCGCCTGCCGTTCCCCCTGCTTGTGCTCTCTCTCTCTCTCAAATGAATAAAATCTTAAAAAAAGAAAAAGAAAATCATAAGGAAAATATGTTTATGGTACACCACACTGTATTTATAAAAAAAAAAAAAATACTTAAGTGGAATCACACAATTCAAATCTGTGTGAAGGACCAATTCCTGTCTTTTCAGGCCCATACATTTCTACTTTAATTTGTTTTTAAAAACTAACAAAAGTCGGGCACCTGGGTGGCTCAGGTGGTTAAGCGACTGCCTTCGGCTCAGGTCATGATCCTGGAGTCCCAGGATCGAGTCCCGCATCGGGCTCCCTGCTCGGCAGGGAGTCTGCTTCTCCCTCTGACTCTCCCCCCTCTCATGCTCTCTCTCTCTCATTCTCTCTCTCAAATAAATAAATAAAATCTTTAAAAAAAAAACTAACAAAAGTCGAGTATTCAGAGTGGTCAAAACATTTTGGAAATAAATACAGTGGTGACCGTTGCATGGCACTGCCAATGTACCTAATGCCACTGAATCGTATACCTACTAGTCAAAACGGCAAATTTTATGCTCTATATGGTTTAGCATAATAAAACTCAGGAGATCTGGGGGAAAAAAGAAAATATCCATCAGTGTTTGCATACTGCAATTCAAAAGCCTTGGGTGATAAAAACTCCCAAAGCTAGTTACCAGCCCGCTCGACTTACTTCCACAAAGAATCCGTAGGCGTAAGGCACTGAGACAGCAGCTAGCTATGTTCCCCTTCTAACCACCGGCCCCACCTCTCCGCACTCACTTGTCGGCCGCATGGCAGATTGTGCCACACGTGTCAGCCATGTCGTCCACCAGGATGGCCACCCGGTCCTTCACGTCTCCCACCAGCACCATGCGGTCTACTTCGTTGGCCTTCTTCCGCTCTTTGTGAATCAGAGCGAAGTCCACGTTCAACCGGTCCGCAATGGAGGTCACTCTGCAAAACAGGGTGTTCGCAGTTAAAACCTAAGGACGAAAGACAGGGACTAAACCATGGGCTTGCTTTCCGGCGGGGAGGTGGGGGGGGGGAGCACTCTTTGAAACCAAACTGTTCCCAGGGCTAGAAGAAAACAGCTCTCATTGATTGACTTCTCAGAGGCCAACAGCACAGAGTGGGTTTTACAGACTAATGCCTCCATATCCTGAGAGCAGTTTATGAGCGTATTAGTCAGACTTCGATTATAATTAATTCTGGTTTACAGCGAGCGGGGGATAGCCAGATGCCTCACCAGTCCCAGGAAGCAGTAGGATGCGAAGGCACGTTCATTTAAGAGATTGGCAGCAGAAGGGGGAGAGAGAGAAGACGTCATTAACTAAGGCCGCGAGTGCACAGATTGGCCCAATTTGACATGCGGATGTTGTGAGAAGTGAACCTGAACCTGGCGGGAGAGGAGTCAGAATGCCTGTGCTCTCACCACACTCCCCTCAGTGCTCCATCAACTGTCAATGTCAACTGTACCTGGACACCAAGCTTGGAAGTTCCTTTTAGGAGCGCTAGAAAGAAAGTTATACCAATTAACCAGGAAAACTGGACATCTGGCCGCACAGCCCGAAGTATCTCCAAGTCAAAAAGTCAGTCTCATTTTGCTATTACACAGTAATACAAACTGAACTAGAAGGTGGGACGGGAAGACCGATCTCTGATGACCAAGTCCCACATAACTCACTCAACCAGAAATCGACTCAGTGTAAACGACAGCATGCTGCTCAGTGTAAATGATGTGTAGGCCCCTGCTCCGCTGAGCCGTCCTCCCCGTGCATGAAGAAGCCTGTGCTTTGGGTCTTGTTTTTTTAAATGCAGCACTGATCCAACCAGAGCATTATGCCCGGTTTGCGCTTTGACTATGGTCACGTGACGGAGGTTGTGCCAGACAGGGGAGAACGTATGACCCTGTCATAGAGAACACAGAAGATCCAAACCACAACCTGGACGGCTCATGTACCCTGACCTAGATGAACCACACCCTGTGCTCTCCTCTCCATGACTACGGTGTGGGCAGAAGACGTCAAGAATAACCCATCTGCTTGGAACATTTACTTAATCCAAGACAAACGCACGATCCAATTAGCTCAAGCATCCCCCACCGTCCAGACTCGATGGCCAACAAACTCAATGACCGACAAAGCAGAAGGGCTGGGAAGTCACTCCCTATACCTTTGAGGGGAGAACTCTGTGCAAGTCACCAGCACACAGGGATCTCCACTTACTCCGAAAACCCTGCCAAGACAGAAGTGATAACAGCCACTCACTCTGAAAATACTCTACCGCTGTTAAGAAAATTATCAACACACACACAAAATAGTAACGAAGCCATAAGTCACCTACTGAAGGCAGTTTTCCTGTACCCAAATTTGGAAAGAAAATCTTGCTTGATTATTTATTTCAAACACTAAGTCCCATGGCAAGATGGGAAAACACTGGCCAACAAGTTAAGACAAGTTTGGCAACTACCATTAGGGAGATGCTTTTTAGGCTTGGCTGCTTTTACAGATGATAACTAGCGATTACGTGGGACTCACAAAGCCATGCATCTGGCTGGATAACGGAACCCAAGTTCTCAGCTTAGCCGTTCTGTTGAAGTTACTGAAATAATGAGGTTGTTGAGAAACAGTCTTTGAAGATTTGAATGGCCTTTAGAAAGATCTGAATTAGCTTTTCCTAATCATCTGTGTTTTGTAGCCTCTTCATTCTATTTCCACAACAAGAAGAACATGTGTCATCCTTTTGAATGCATTACTAATGAGTGATCCACTAAGGAAGTCAAGAGCTCTTAGTCTGCACCACGTGAGCCGTAAAGCACTGAAACTGGCAATCCTTGGCAATCAGTTTGTTTAAAGTGTTAAGGTCCTGGTTTTAAATAAAGTTACTCCACTTTATTTTCCTTCCTGCTTAATATCTTAACGCCAGAATGAAGACGGTCTAACCACTGGCATCACGAGGTGTGGAAAAGGCCTACTTGTCCGCTAATAGCATGTAGTTCGAAAGCGGGTGCCATTCATTAGAACTCCAAATTTCCCACCAGTCCGGATCGCTTCACAGCGGTGTGGCTAGCTCTGCAGTGCCCCGTGACTCATGGGTTTCAGTCAAGCCTACAACACGGTAGCTACTTAAGGGCCCCCTCTGTGCTGTCCTGCCTTTCAGACAGTGACTCAGGCCAGTAAAAGAGGGTTAGTAAAACTATGTCCAGCCCGTGTCCCGGTTCCACCCATTCTGAAGTAGAGCTGACCCTTGGAAGACACGTGTGTGAACCGTGCAGGTCCACTTATGAGCCGATTTTTTCTTGATGCAGTATAGTACTGTGAATGTATTTTCTCAGCAACATTTTTTCTCTAGCTTGCTTTCTTGTAATATAGTATTTAATACACATAAAATACAACATGGTTAATCGGCTGTTTATGTTATTGGGAATGCTTCCAGTTAACATTTGGCTACCAATAGTTAAGTTTTGGTGTGGTCAAAAGTTCTATGTGGATTTTTGACTGCATGGGGGGGGGGGCCGATGCCCCAAACCCCCATGTTGTTCAAGGGTCAGCCGTACTTAAAAACTGTCACCTGCTAGAAAAATATCACTTTCTGGGGCGCCTGGAGGGGCTCAGTCAGTTAAGCGTCTGCCTTCGGCTCAGGTCATGATCCCAGGGTCCTGGGATCGAGCCCCAGCTCAGGCTCTCTGCTCAGCAAGGAGCCTGCTTCTCCCTCTCTCCCCTGCCTGTGCTCTCTCTTGCTATCTCTCTCTCTCTCTCTCAAATAAATAAATAAAATCTTGAAAAAAAAAAAAGAAAACTATCACTTTCTGACACAGCTGTCTGAAAGATTTCCCCAGTACTTTGAGAATAATATGCATTCCGGCCATACCTCTTTGCTCCACCAGCATCAGGTGAGACAATCGTACAGTTCCTCCACTCAGAGATGTTCTCCCTTATCCACTTCAGCACAGCTGGCTCTGCATACAAATTGTCCACTGGGATATCAAAAAAGCCCTGTAGAAAGAAGCTGAGTCACGTTTGCTTTGTTTTTCTGCACTTCCATTTATAAATGACCAATACAAAGAGGCTAATAACTTGCCCGAAGAATACCTTCCTGTAACATTCTGACTGATCAGAAGGCATGCCCGCTGGAGCAGACTAAAAATGGCTTCCTCCTTCCTCAAACCTGGGCGGCACAAGGGAGTCCAGCCGAGAGGGGCAAAGCCTGCCCTCGGCTAACCCACAACTGACCACAGGAACATGAGTGAGCCCTTGGCAAGAACGGCCAAGTTCAGCTGATACCAGAACAGCCCAGTCAGTGTGCAGACCCGTGAGGTCATACTGCCTTATGGCACCAAATGTTGGGCTGGTTCGTTAGGGAGCAAGAGCTAACTGCTAAACCAGTTAGACATGCTTTGATACGTAAACCTAGTGGAATGTATTTATAATAAATGGTCACAGAGAGTAAGTCTAATACTAGCTGCTATAGATTAGATCTGTTCCTCTTCTATAAAATGGGTAGAATCACCTACCCCAGGTACCTCATTGGATTGCCACAAGCCTCCAATGAGGATGTGAAAGCCCCTTTAAATAGTACAGAATATAAGGCAGTATTCTGCTCCGCTTTCTCTGGGTTTATGCTACAAAGTAGGTTCCGACAGCTGCGGCTCTCAACTTAACGATGACACTAACAGTTCCTATTAATGGAGCACCTGTCCTGGGCCACGTGTTCTACCATAAATTTCGCACTCACAACAACAATGCAGTGTGTGTTCAGAGCAGTTAAATAACCTGCCCAAAGTTACAAAGCTGCTGAGCGTCAGAGCCAGTATTCAGACTAGGTCTGAACCCAAAGCCCATGCTCTTCTCAGAATTCCAGACTGCCTCCCTTATCCAACCACCCCAAAGACTCAGATCAGGAACTATGCTTAAAGTGAGGGTGCTTACAGTGCTGTCAACGTCTAGTTTATCTGAGCTGTATTTGCACAGGTTTTTGCTTCTCTCCAGTCTCCAGCATTATCAGCTCTCTCCTCTCCCACCCCTTTCTAATGCCCAATATTTAGCTTCCAGATACCTGAATCTGAGAAGCATGCAGGTCCATGGTGATAATATGATCCGCGCCTGCTACAGAGAGCATATTTGCCACCAGCTTGGCTGAGATTGGAGCCCGGCTCTAAATAGAGGGGGAGGAAAGAAGAACAAAAAAACCAAAATGCCATTTTGAGAAACAATTCATTTGCTCGAGAAGCATTCCTTTATTGTGCACTTACTATGTTTAAGGCACCGTGCTGCCAGGAAATTCACAGAAAGTGCCATGGCCGTTGACTCCGTGAGTAGATCACAATCTAGCATGAATAGTAAGTGGAATATCACTTTTCCAAATCAGGATACGGCTTTCAGAAGAGAAAAATACCTTCCTACCTTTTGTTTTCTTAACTTAATGTACATAGTTTCAGCCTGAGTGTTGCAATGCTCAGTGATTTAAACTAGGCAGACTTAAAAGAAATCTTTTTCACAAAAATTATTAAAATCTCTTTTAACACATACTCAAACCTGTATGACATCTAACATGTCGAAATTTAAAGATCACAGAATGGAAATTATAGTTTATTTTGTAAATTATGCCACTCACCTACTCATCTGGAGGTCGACCTTCCGGCAACTTCAACCTCTTTAAATAACAGGCAAATACACCTGGCTGCACTATAAAGTAGCAAAGGCCTTTATATTCTGGAGGAGCACTGTACTCTCAGAATAAAAGTATCTGGCCTTCTCCCAGACACTGTATGCAAAATTTGAGCACCGATTATTACAATAGTCCTGCAAAGTTTTATGTATATTACCTTGGCCTCTAAAATCCCAGATAAATGAGGTGAGATGTGTGTTTATAATGAGACTAAGCCTTCATGTAACCGACTTCAAGTTTTATGAAGAGATCACAGTTGGAACCCCAAGAGGGTCCCAGAGGATCTACCTGAGTTTAAAAAATATTCTACTCCACGGTAGCTGGTGCTTAGTCCTACTGACACAATTAAAAAGTCGCAGTGAGCTAACTGAAAGTCACATATGTATGACTAGAACAAATACAGACTACAAATGAGTTGATTTATATAAACCAACCCCGTGTCAATTGTTTTTGAACACTGGCTGATACCTACGAGAATGTGATAAAAAAAAAAAAAAAGTAATATACCCTCTAAATATGGGTCTGAGGATTAAGGAATTTTTGTGACTTTGGGCAAGTGCTGCTTCTGATTAAAAAAAAAAAAAGTTTTTTT